GAAGTGATGGGAATGGAAAAAATAACAGCAAAATTACAGTTTAAAGATAAACTGTTTCAAGAGACATGGGCACATGTACTTATGGAGATAGAAAACCTTAACTACTCTGGAACTTTAACTGTTATAATTTTCATCTTTGAAATGGATAGGAATACAGAATGTGTATGGATTGACATATTAAAGTGTTCTCTGTATTTGTCTTGGCTTCTGTAATTTGTTTTGTTTGTATTTATAAATCAACACCTTTGGGAAAGGAAAATGTAAACAATTTTTGAAATTCTGTAAAGATATATATATATATATATATATATATATATATATATATTCAAAAAAAGTGACCGATACAGTAGTTGTTTCTAACTGACTGACTCACTAAACTGTATTTAAAAACATATCTGTCAACATGATGCATCTGCTAAAAAAAAAGTCTCATCTTTTTTGGTTTATCAATAAAATGATCAAGAATTGTGGAGCAGCCTGTGGAGCATTGTTTTCATTTTAATTTCCTCCTTGTGTCATCCTTTTCCTCTCAGTTATCACTCAACTTACTTGAATTAAAGTCAAATTCAAATTCACTCTTAGTTTATTTACTGTTTTTACTGCACTTATTGTTTTAAAATTATGATTTAAAATCCTAGTCCACCAGCATCATCATTCAAATTTTCCCCAAAATTATAACGTTATGATAAATGTTTACATTATATATTGGCTGCATCTTAATTATTAATTATCAAAGATATTTTCAATTTAAAAATAGATGTGAAATATTACAATATATATATATATATATATATATATATATATATATATATATATATATATATATATATATAACCTACAATAACTTAAATTCTATCTGTCCAATAATCTGCCTGTAGTGTCTTTAGATGTCCAGCAGGTGTCAGTATTCTGTGAGACAGCATCAACTCAGCATCAATACAGTTTGGCTTCAAAGTGCCTCCTTAACCATCATTACTGACTAATAATCGACGTAATGGCAGTGGAAACTGCTTTTAAACACATGTATTTCCTAATTTTCACATAAATGTAATAAACGTTATGTGAAAACCTGAACCCAGCGCCCTGCTCTACAGTTAACAGGATGAATTGGAGCCAGAAATATCAGCTGAATCCCAAAAGCGTCCGACCAAAGAAATTAAGTTCTTAAAATGATCAAAAATCCTGTAATACGTCCCTAATCTGGATAAAGCTATAAACTGTGAATTAAAAGCCCGCGTTTTACCAATAGGATGTGTGAGAAGGAAGATAAACAAGCACTTTGAAGTAGGACTAGTTTAAATGAGAGAAACTCATAGTAAACATCCGCGGCTGTTTATTTTACGATCACTCCGCATTTTGATAAAGGACGCTTCAAATGTTTATTTAGATGTCCCAAATAAGTTCATACCCTTTAATTTATAGGCGTCAGAAAGTCTACACTCCCCCGGAACTTCCTCTATGCCTCTCTATAGATGTTAGGTCAAGAAAAAAGACGATAAAGAATATAATAATGGCGCAATCATTTCTTAAGATGCTGTAACGCCTTAGAGTTTTTACTCATTTTAGTTCCACTGAGGTAATGTAGTAATACGTTACGAAACCACAGTTATTACAGTTTTCTGACATAAAAATCTGAGAAAATAAATAAAATAAATCATACATACCGTTTGGTTTTATTCAGTAATCCACTAAAATGCTCTGATAATCGACCGATAGCCATGAAGTATCATCCTTTCGTAAACGTTTCTCTAACCTGTGATGCTTACCAGCTGTTTAAGTTCCCTCCACTGACGACTAACCTCTTCTTCTGCTCCCTTTAATCACATCAGCTCAGAGTTCAGGGTTCTTTACTGCCCCCTAATGGACAGTAAAGCGCCGTATAATAAAAAACAGAACCCAAAACAGAGCGGTCTGCAGTAGTACCGCAAGGTTTACTGCCATCTAGTGGACACCAGGGGAACTACAGATACAGATTTTTTCGTCTATGACAATTCAGGACTTCAATCAAATTTCTGACGATGAAATCAAAGAAATCCTTATTCTTAAATTTACTTTCCTTTAGTAGAATTAACTTAAAACATGTTTCAGTCTTGAAAAACGGATTTCAGTCTTAAAATATAATGACTAAATGTGATCACCATGTTTACATTTTATCACTGCTGCACTTTAAGAAATGGAAAGAGCTGTAATGAATGAAATTTTGTTCTGTATACACTATGTGTGTATAGAATGACAGTCAAATTTGTCTAAGTCTAAGTCTAAATGAAAGACTTAGACTTAGAC